AGGTATATTCACTAGGGATTAACTTCGGTGTTATTCATGTTTAACAGTTTGTAAAAGTAGTATAATAAAGTGACCTAATGCATATGTAAATACGTGATGCTTCGTTGTATACCACGAAGACTGATCTTTTATTCACATATATGTCAAAGTAAAAATTTGGAAAGAAATCACATTTCGAAAGTCAGTGCAAAAACTTGCTGCAAAAGAACCCCACGTATAAGTACCATGACATTGCTTGAATGGATACCTTAAATTATTTTTTAGGTACTTTAATCCTTTGCTGCGACCGGCTAAAAAAAGGATTTGCAACGTATCTGAATATTTTTGCTTGCCGAAGCCTAGTACCTAAGATATTACTGTAGCAGGGTATCCAATAGGTACACGACTTTTGCACATCCACTGTGGATATGCAAAAGCCGTTTTCCTAGTGGATGATCCACTAGGAAAAGGTCGTTTTAAAGCAAAATCAGCAATATTCATAGACATGTATCTCAAAAACTAAAGGGGATCCTATTATAAGAAACAAATAAGCATTGTGTACAACTCGTGTACTTTAAACTAGTACAAAAAACGGAAATAGATCTTCTCGAATTAATGTAATTTTAGTTCGAGAAGTTGGTATAATACAAAATAAATTTACAGTAAGCACTCTCCACCTTGAATATTTGAAAGACCAACATTTTAAGAAAATGGAAAATTTATTCGTTTCTTATTTTATTGTTTAAACAGAAAAAGTGATGAATTTCTCTTATAGGAAAGTCTAAATAGTAGAACAAACTGGTGATAAGTTTATAAATGAATAATCTCTTCTTTATCTTATGGAATCAACGAAAATGATAACAATAACCTGCAAGAGATCGGAGGAATATTTAAATTATGTGCGAGAGTAAACTTTAACCAGTAAACCATATTTGGGCTTCATTGTAATTGTTCTTCTTGATAAAAAATCATAAATATATCCCAAATGGCTAATTCCTGACTTTTCACAGTGAAGTGAGAGTTTCTCAAAATTGAGTTTCATGACCAAAATGTGGCAAATTCAACTTCCTAACTCTTATCTGCTGGGCTCAAATTCGTAAAATTGCCATGAAACTCAATTTTGAGAAACTCTCACTTCACTGTGAAAAATCAGGAATTAGCCATTTGGGGTATATTTATGATTTTTTATCATGAAGAACGATTTTTAAAAAACTGGTATCCACAGATAAGATTTAGAAAATTAAATTTCCTATATTTCATAATCGAGACCCAACTCTCTCACTTGAATAGATACAATCCGGAAATAAGTTGAAGAAGTTCTTCTTAAGTTGGAATAAGTTATTTAGGCTTTTTTAAAGCAATATTAAAATTTATCGTGCTCCAAGTGATTCAGCATGGAAAATGAACTAGATCTTACATTTTTCTACATGAATAGCTAGCTTCTTTTGTAAAAAAATCATTTATGAAGTAGCTTAAAGTTAGAAAAAAAGAATGATACAACCATCAGATCATAAAAAGGGATTTAAGGTTTTAACTTTTCTATGCTCCTGTTACGTGGAATTACAGTGGCTTTTGCTCTTGTTATCACGGATAGTTAGTCGATCCAATGTATGATCGACAGTAGTATTACAGTAATCATTCGTTGACGGTGGCATGGTAAATATTTCAGAGACACATCACTGTTCCCTTATTGTATGTACACATTATTGTGTCATTTTTGTTCTTATATCATATTCTGCAACCGATTTAACGAAAAATAATATACATCAATTTGGTATTGAAAATTAGTTTAAATTAATTTGTATACTCAAGTTTCTTTGAAGTGCTTTAAATAAAATTAATTTCTATTAATTTTCGTTTGTAAATTGATTTAGAAAACATTTACTAAAATTAATTTCAAATTCAGAATTAATCTGAACGAATTTCTGTACTCAAAATTAATGTAAATTAATTTCAAGTGTTTCGAAATCAAAATAGATACTTATTTCGGTTTAGAAATATTTTCAAGAATTTCTGAGACTGCCACTGTATGGCCATGTCGAAAACTAACAGTATCAAAGTGCTATTCCAGCTCGCAAGCTTACGTATTACATCTAGTTTATTTCAATGCATCTACATAATGTGAAATCTGCTAATGGAAAAACGAAAAACACACACATTTTAGGTTCTACAAACCGTAAACAAGTCGTTAACGGCTACTTAATGGACCGTCTTTTAGTACTTTAAACTAGAGCAATTTTAGAATGATTTTTGAATGTTTCATGACATATCGAGTACCTCAGGGTGATGAGTAAGACTCTTTGAAATTTTTGTTCTTTTTGTGCTATTTCTTGGCCGTTTTTGATAGAAAAAACTTGCTATTGAACACGGTAATAGATCGAACATTTTTCTACAAACTCAGGTAAAAATTACATGAGTGTCTCTATTTACTCCAAAGTATAAAAAAGGAGAAAAGAGAATTTTTTGAACTGAGAAACTTTATATAATGGAAATTCTGTGTATAAAGAAACGAACTTATTGTCATTTTCATACGTCTCCAATGATGGAACTCTAAAGGACAAAATTACAGTTAGTCGCTATCCATCTATGATCTCCTTCCATTAATTACAGTTCCAGTACGGTCAATTCATGTCGTACGTTTTGTACATCTTCATCGGTGGTAAAATTTGGAACTGAAAAATTGATATTGTTAATGAAAATAATTAGAAAAATTTGAGCAAATTTTCTATTTGATCTTGAAATGCATTTAGCGAATCAGACACTGATAATCTGTTTGTACTTGATGTCTTTGAGTGAGAGCGCGTTCTTCTCGATCCATCACTCATTTCTATGATAACAGAAACGTCTGACCAGTTAGTTTAATTAACGACGTCGCTTGTACGTATCAATCATCTGTACAATAATCGGAACAAGCACCTTCCATTAGAAATCTTCAGCCATCTTGTTCAATCATATCATCATCCGTAAAATGTTCACTACAACCTCTTTCATATTTGCTTTGCAAAATCGCGATTTAACATGTCACACCATTTTTTCGATATTGTTTAACCTTCATATTTTTTTTTCTCAACTAATAATAGTGAAGATTCAAGTGAGGCTCTTTTGTTGATGAAATTCTTTTTTTCTTCCCTATTTGCTTTTCTCAACACCACCTTGAACAAAAAATTCTCTTTTTTATATATTATAGTTTTCTTATTTAACCCGCTCATCCACCGTTTTTCCATTCTTCTTTCGTCTAGTGGTGATAGAAGAAAAATCCTTTTTTGACTGACTGAAATGCCTGTGAAAGAACAATGGAAAAACTGTGGATGGGTGGGTTAAATCAAAAAAATCAAAAAAATATATAAAAAACTTTCTTAAAATAAAAAAATATAAAAGACTTTCTCGAGGTGGTATTGGAGAAAAGTAAATAAGAAAAAGAAAAAAATTTTAACAGTAAAATATGAGACTCACTCGAATCTCTACTATTATTAGTTGAGAAAAAAAAAAGGAAGATGAACGACAGACGGATTCCAGACAAACATCTACTGAAACAGACACTTGATAATTACAGATTATCTATAGAACAGATTAAATTGAATATTAAAACTATAGAAAAATCTCAGAAAAATTTAACGGAACATTTACAAGATACATTAATTGAATGGTTAGAATATTTTAGTAATAATACATCGGATCATTTAAAACCAACAGAATTGTGTATGGTATTATCAAAAGTATTTGAATTATACTGTAATTCATTTATATGTACATTGTGGAATTATTCATCATTATTACATAAAACACGATTTGGTTTTCCATCAATTATTACTGATATTGAAGAAAAATTTAAAATAAAACAGTTACGTATTGATTCTATTTATAGTGATGAAATAAAAGGACAAGGTGATATTTTATTACAAGATAATAATACATTTAAAACATATTGTGTTGTACCATGTAGAAAGAATAATGAAAATGTTGATAATGAAATTCTATTAAAATTAGTTGGTAATATGGTCTATGAAAATTGTCGACATGGTCTACTAATGTCATGTCAGAAACATGATTTTTTTAATCAAACAAAAGACTTAATTCGATATTTAAAAGATAAGAGACAATATTCTATAGAATATATATTTTATCCTGAATTTAAAGAATTAATTAGAAATTTTACAACAGAAATATGTTTATTTATGCTTAATGATTTTAGTGAATTATTGAATAAATGTCAAATTAAAAAACAGTTACAAAATGCGATTGATGGTTGTGAAGTCATGGATAAAAAATTGAAAATTGATACCGACGAATTAAATATTTTTATGAAAAATTATTTACAATCAGTGAAAAATTGAAAACTCAGTTCTACTAAGCAAGATACAATATGTTGTTATTGAAGCAGAATAATGTTGTTCATGAAATAAACTATCGGTATATTGATTATGTAAAGAAAGATTGCTACTGGAGAGGTGATGATAAGAGCGACATGTCGTACATAACACAAAACTTACTTATTCTACAAATGCGTGGATGGTAAATAAATTATTCACATCTACAAGGAGAACAAATAAAAACTTTTTTCTAAACTTTTTTTCTTTTTTTTCCCGTTGGTTCCTGCTATACATAATCGATGAATAATAATATTAAAAATTAAAAATAAATATTTGTGGTAGATAAGTCAATACATTCTGTAAAAACCAAGAAACCATTTTAATACAAATGATATTTGCGAAGTAAATAAAAACATTTGACAGAATGAAGGAAACAATAGCAACAAAACTTTAAATCGATCCTTTTATATTAAGTTCTTTTTTTACGATGATGTATTGTTTATCAGTAAGAGAAAATAAACCTCTTTTCGTTAGCTTTGTACTATCGTCTATAAATGGGATAAATTTGCAACAAGTAATAAGTATGGCTTAATCATACTGGGTAATTAGACACCGATTAAAAATCGGTATTTTTTATCTTTTTTTCGCAAATGCAACGTGTGAAACGTGACATATTAAATTTATTTGACAACTAGATTTCGTAGAGCAAGCATTTCTCTACACAAAAAGACTCTATCTTTTCCCTTTTTCTTTCAGTCGCTTTTCTACGAAGAGCTATATTGGGCTCTTAGTAAATATTTGTTTTATAAGTGCTGGATTAAGTTAAACATTGCTCTAGTTCATTTTGTATAGAAATGCTTGCTCTACAAAACCTAGTTGTCAAACAAATTTAATATGTCACACGTTTCAGAACGAAATAATCTGGAAGGCTAAAATCTTGGATTAATAGGTTTTTCAGTATGCTCTACAAGATGAGACTACTTAGAAACAAATCCGAGATACTCAATGAGCATCACCTGTCGTGGCTTATGTGTAATGACTCCTACCGGAATGAAATTTTTCTTCGGATAGGACGAATAATAGTTAGTACATTTATGCGGCAAGAAAAACAAGCTTGTTAGTAACCCAGTCGCAATGAAAACGGGCTCTCCGATTTAATCTCATTCAGAATAATGCCTGTTTCATTTTGTAGTGGGTCGTCAGGAATACTGTCCGAAATTC